TGGAATTAAGAACTCATACCTCCCTGTTGACAGCCCACCCTTAACTCCCCAAACCTTTTATCATCATTATGAAGGGAAGGGGAAAAAGCTTCATTATTGATGAGCTAAGCTTATGTATCCTTCAAAGAAAAATGTTAGCATGGTATCACGAGGTTTAATTCTGTTCCCTCAAGCAAAAAATCCATTGTTTACTTTTTTAAAATATTTGTGAAATAAGCATATCTCTCACCCCATGCAATCACTATCACCCTCACTCTCATCCTTTAAATGCAGGGGTTGCATGGGTAGGATTTAATTTGAGGTAAATTATGTGGGCGATGTAACTTCAGAAGCCTCTGATAATATTCTATCAAGCTAATGCACTTAATTGGGGAGTAGACATAATATAATCAGTAATAACATAACGCCCACTTATTCTTGTCCTCCTGTTGTGAGTCTTTAAGAGAAAAAAAGCAAAGTAAAGAAAAACTAGCAGAGAAACACAGACAGCAAACAAAAAAAAAAGTCCCCAATGCACTGTGGCCATGAATTTTTCATGCTTCACAAGCACCTCTGGTTGCAGGAGGTTTGGGCCTAATAGTCATTCCTACAGAAAGGCAAAGAAAACAAACTCTTCAAATACAAGGCAACTAACAGAGGGATGCTCTGTTGTTTTTTTCGGTGCAGTAATCCAGTCTAAAAACAAACTGACACACAGAACCAGATAGACACATAATGAGATGGCTTCAAATGTCCTATTGCCAGTTACTTTGGCTGAGTCAAGAAATGAGCAATGTAGGAGTCAAACACACCATAACTACAGAGATTTCATTTCCCATCCCCATCAATGGCATGAAGAACAAACAGTAAATTTTTTTCTAGCTGACAAAATCAGATGAACATCAATGGAGTTTGATATATAAAATAGTAGATATATAAAATATACCTGAAGTAAATAACTAAATATGCCTAAAATAACAACTACAGAATGTGAGCAGAGTTTTGACATACCTTTTTTCTAGCTTCCCAACCTAATGGGAAGAACACATTCTTTTCAGACTGTGAAGATGTGCTAGCCTCCTACAGGATATAAGAGATCAAGCATGGGAAGGAAACTCTCTCTCTCTCTCTCTCCTCTCTCTCTCTCTCTCTCTCTCTCTCTCTCTCTCTCTCCCCTCCCTCTCCCTCTCCCTCCTCCTCTTCTCTCTCTCTCTCTCTCTCTCTCTCCCTCTCTCTCCCTCTCCCTCCCCTTTCCCTCTTCCTCTCTCTCTGTCTCTGTCTCTCTCTCTCTCTCTCTCTCTCTCTCCTCTCTCTCTCTCTCTCTCTCTCCTCCTCCCTCTCCCTCCCCTCTCCCTCTCCTCTCTCTCTCTCTGTCTCTCTCTCTCTCTCTCTCTCTCTCTCTCTCTCTCCTCTCTCTCTCTCTCTGTCTCTCTCTCTCTCTCTGTCTCTCTGTCTCTCTCTCTCTCTATATATATACATATACACATACATATATATATATACATATATATAGATATATAATAATTTTGCAGTATAAACTTAGGTTGATATTTAGGAAATACACTAGTGTTGAATTTCTTGGGGCAAGCAATCATTTTGATAAGATTCCATTTTGTGCTCCTGATGGTCATGCATTTGTTCATATTTATGTCATTGTTCTCTTTTGTTGTGTTTTCAAGTCTGTGTTTTTTAAGAATGGATATTACTCCAAGAAAACAGGTATAATTTAGGCCTCTTAAAGGGACCACTTTGTCCTAGACTTTGCATGTTCTTGTGAGACAGTATCACACATTCTATTTTTTTTTTGGTGGGAGGGGGATGTTTTGTACCAGTTTATCTTACTGTAATGCTGTTTAATTTGTGAGCATCCCCCCCCACACACACACCCGTATACTTCCCATTGTGATTAGGGGTTGATTATCAATTAGCTTTTAGAAGGGTATATTTTAAAAGGTGGTACAATAATTTTACAATTTTAAAATACACTTTTCTAAAAGCTAACTGACAATCAACCCCTATTCACAGTGGGAAGCATACCAGGCGGGGCTCACAAATTAGATAACATAAAACAGGCCAAACTCAATCCTTTGGGACTACCTTTAAAAGTTTGAAGGAATAGAATAACCATGTTCAGGGGACCCAATTTATCACGAGTGGGAATTGGAATAGCCACCTTAAAGTATGTGCTACAGAAAAGATAAATAATATTTGTCAAAATCTTATAAACTCCATGCTAAATCATGCAAAACGAGATTGTAGAAAAGAAAGACATATTGCAGATGAAAAGGTTTTGTTTGTAACATTTATCACAAATCAATACATTTAATTATTTTATTTCATCCCAATTAACTTATACACCACTATAAATGATCATCTTAGTGTAACCAAGGGACAATCAATCAGTGAGATTAGCAATCATAGGATATAAAAGATTAAAAAACAAATGGGAGAAATGCAAAGGAAGGGAGACATTCTGTAGCAGAGCCATAACCAAGGTAGGGAAAATAGAATTTTGTAGGAGGGCAGTAACATTTAGAAAGTGCTCAAAGTACTCATATTTCTTTTCCAACTTAAGAACAAATGAGATTAACAATGAGTTTGCGAGAATAATCCTTTCTATATCAGTTCAGCTTCTCCTACTTGGGCCACTCAGCCTTGCTCCTCAGTTCAGCACTTGCTCAAACCCTGCCCCCTCCCCCCATTCTACCTCCAGCAATTGAATTGCCACAGGCACAAAAATAATTTTCCCAAATTATTTTCTTCCTGTTCAGCTTTTGTAAATTAAAAGTGAATTCATGAACTATTTTCTGTGAGCTCAAAAAATGGCAGTTTGCCATTTTCCCAGCAAACATCTATGATATGGAATTAACAGCTTGGCAAGGGCTCTGTTTGTTTGTTTTCATTTTTTAGCTGGAAAATGGGGTTAAGCGCTTGCCCAGGGTCACACAGTTAGTTAAGTATCAAGTGTCTGAGGCCCTATTTGAACTTAGGTCTTGACTCCAGGGCTGGTGCTCTAGCCACTGTGCCACCTAGCTGCCCCATTAGCAAGGGCTCTGTCAAATATTCTGGGCTTCGGCACTAGCTGAAAAGGCTAAGCATAACTTATATGGAGCCAAGATGACAAGTGGGAAGAAAGACCAAAAAGAGAGAGACAAAAGGTGATGGTGGGAGAAAATGAGAGAAGGCAACAGAGAGGAAGAGAACAAACAAAAGAAAGAAACAAGCAAACTACTAATATTCTATACAGCCCTACATTTGTGGAATAGTAAAGTATAAAGTAATAAGCACACAGTGCTCAGTTTTTTGTTGTTTTTTTTTTTACCCTGGAATTTTTCTCAAGTTAAATGTAACACAAAAGTACAGAACATATTATAATATTTCACATTCCATTTTCCTCCCAATCTAACAAAACACATATGACTGGTAGAATCTGGAGGAGATTCATGAAATGAAAACAATGAAATATAAATAAGCACTGAATGTGAATTTGGGTCAAGACTTTTATTATTTAGAAGCTCACTACTGAAATCAAAGCCTTAAAATATGCATCATTTACACTTTCACATGTGAGCAGGCTTTATGGCCCTTTTCCTTGACAGTTAAACATATCCAATCATCATTATTTAGAAACAGATTCTGCCTATTCTTGTTGTTCAGTCATGTATAATTCTTCATAACCCCATTTGGGGTTTTCTTAGCAAAGATGCTGCAGGGGGTTGCCATTTCCTCCTCCAGCTCATTTTACAGCAAGGAAACTGAGGCAAACAGGGTTCAGTGACTTGCCCAGGACCGCAGAGCTAGTAAGTGTCTGAGGCAAGATTTGAACTCAGGTCTTCCTGACTCCAGGCCCAGTGCTCTAACTACTGAGCCACCTAGCTACCTATTCTCTTCCCAGGAAAATGAGCAATAATCACTTGTTTTTGTTTTTTTTAAAGCTGTCTAGGAAGCTTTCCTCCAAACTAGCCATATATTTCTTCAAATAGGAAATGGCCAGCTGGGGTCTAACCAAACCTTTGGAAACAATAAATTTTATTTAGAAGTGATCTCCTAATCAGACTTGCCTTTGGATTCCCGTATGCCTCTATACTCACAAATGGGCCGCCTTATCCTTATTCCAACTCACCTAATATGAGAATATTTGGTATCTTGATTCCCTCCTCTCTTTCCTACCCAAGGTATGATGTAAATGAATTTAAGTGTCAGAATGCTGAGAATCTTCCAAATGTTACCTCTTCCCTAGAATATATATATATACATATATATATGTTATATATATATATAATATATATATAACATATATATAACATACATATATATATATATATATATATATATATATACATATACATATATATATTTTATATATATATATACATATACATATATATATATATATATGATAACCCATTTCTATTAGAATAAAGATGGAACCATATACTGTTTGAGCTGTAGGTCTTATTTTGAATTCTTTAAATTCCTGTGAAGTTCTATTGTATTTTGAACTTGATAGCTAATATGTTCTAACCAGAGTTATGAGCACAAAATAGATAACATGGCACAGTAGACAGAGGGCCAGCCATGGCATTAGGAAGAGTAGAGCTCAAGTTTCATCTTTGATCCATGATAAGTCACTTAATTTTTCTATGCCCTAGATAACTACAAGACTATAAGTTGCAGGGGAATTGCCAATCTATATTGGTAGAGAGCATTTCTACATTGGGAGTTCCTACCATAAAATTACACATCTAGACCCCAATAAATGAATTAACAAACCCAAAATAAATACATACCCTTTAGCTATTGTAGTATGTGTTAGAAAAATATAGAATAAACTAATTACATCATTTAATTCATTCTCTTCCAGAATAGGATATAAATGAATCTTGTACACAGAAGCCATAAATTAAACTAAAGCATGTTAAAATTAAACATGTGTCTTTTACTTGAGCACTCAATGCATACATTCAGTATGACTAAGGTCAAAGAAAAAGATGAGAAATCAAAAGTGATTGGAAACTGACCTGTTTTTCATTTTCATCTTCCAGCCTCAGCCTGTCCTCTATGCAGTTTCTGGCCTGTAGGAAAGCCTTCCTCTGAGCCCTTTCTGTCAAAATCCTCACAAAGACCCCATACAAATTTACACTGACAAAAAGCAGAGCATTTGCCCCAAGCTGTAAAGAAAAAAAAAATAGAAGAAATATTTTAATGTACAGATTTTTCACAACATGTCAGTTTTTCCTCACTTTATTTTTCACACGCAAAGAATGTGGTCAGTTTGGCCCAGGAATTCTCAGTTTCCAAAGTATTTTCTTAGAGTTCAACAAGCTTTCATAAAGAAGATAGGGATTCTAATGAGGGGCTTCTTTGTTTAGGGTTTTGTAAAGAAAGCTTCACATTTGAATAATTTCATGGCTCAGCCTACAACCCTATAGCAGAATCAGGCATGAGGGAGTACCTGTGCACGGGGCTGATTGACTGTAGCAGATTCCGGTGAGTGGTAGATAAGGTAGGCTACCATCTGTTAGGATATAATACACATTAGGCCAAAACAAGAAGCAACCTCTAATATGAGGCTGATTTTGTTTTGCTTTGTTTTAGACACATGAATAATACCAGAAAAATACTGTTTCCCAGAGAAGGTAAACATTTATTTTGTAATCTGTCTAATTAAACATGTTACAAAGAAGGCTCAAAGCCTGTAATGGACAGTCACACATAGGGCGCATAATTTTCAAAGCTGAGAGGAGAAAGGCCACTCTTAAACGTTTCCTGGGAATATGTGATTACTTTGCTCTCTTCTTTGTCTCCCCAAATGGAAAGGAACCCAGAAGTATCAGTCTATGAGATTAATCATTCAATCAACATGCATTTAATGGATACTGTGGTTGGAACAATACCCTAACCCCTCCCTTCTTACAAGTTAGGTTAATTTTTCCTTAAAAGGTATTTAGACATTCCGTGAGACTTGGTTGGCTCCAGAGACCAAAGAAAGGTTCAACCTCTTGACATCACTTCCCAATCACATGTTCTCAAAGCAGCCAAAAGAACTTCCAGATGCACTCAGAGGCATGGCTTGGAGGATCATGATGCAGGCAAATGAGCTTCTCTCAACTGAATCAATTCAAGGGGTACACAAAGCCTATCCTTATCAAATATCTTTCTTATGCTATAGCTAAGTAAATCTCCTTTTGATGAAGAGTGAATGATTTACAAGTGTCTCATTTTGTTCTAATATTTAACCTAAAGTACTGGGGGACTGGCCTGAATCAGGCTCCACTCAGAATAGATACCTACTACATCCAAGGTTCTGTGGGTAATACAAAGAGACATCATAAGACCTGGTCTCTAAAGAATTTAGAAAAAAAAAAGAATTTAGAATGTGATCGATGCATAAACATGTGAATACTTAAATAATAGAAGAGAGAAAACAGGGAAAATGGTTCAAGAGAAAAATATGAGATGTATTAAAAAAAAAAACCATAAACCGACCTCAGAGGTTATCTCTTGTTTTGGCCTAATGTGTCAGATGTCAGTATGTGGCTGATTGCCAAATCAATGGTATGGAGCTGAAAAGCTATTGGAATGCAAAAGAGATGTAGAACTCCCTATAGGGAATGGGCTGACAAGGAGGAGGATGGATTCTAGTTGAGGAAATAGCAAACCAAAGTGTGCAGATGGAAAAAAAAAAATCATTCAGGAAACAGTAAAAAGAGATGGGATTTTTTTTTTGTAGGGGGGAATGGGAGGTTGGGGAAGATCAAAGGGTAAGGGAAAATGAGTAATTTAAAATAGCATCAGAGTGGTAAGTTGAAGCCATGGCTTGAAAGGCAGAGGAGTTTTCATTTCCTACTTCAGTTATTTCATATATATGAGAAGTAAAGAACTAGTCCCACTGGATCTAAGAGTTGTGTACAAAGCTTCAGTAGACTCACAGGTCTTATTTCTCTCTAATAAATGTAATTAGCAATGATATTGGCAGAGCAGCAACAAGGTCATTTCAAGGATTTCAGCTCTATGATGAAGTCGGGAGTTCCACATGATATATACATGTTCTCACCAACACAGATCACAACTTCTGCACCTTCCCTGAGTTATTATGGCTGAAAAATTCAGCTCACTGAGTTATAGATATAGGGCTGGAAGGGATTTTGAATGTCATTGAGTCCAAACGTTTCATTTCACAGATGAGGAAACAGAGGCTCAGAGATGTTAAATGACCTGCCCAGCCTCACAAGCAAGTAACTGTTGATGGGGAGAGTCAAACTCAGACCGTCTACCCCTGCACCACACTGCCCATGAACTCCTGCTGGACAGTTTTCTGGCAGTCAGTTTCTTCACACCCAGAGAGGTATAACAGTTGTGCAGTCTGTCACCTGACACACACTAGAAGATTTTCCAGGTTGGTGAGATCTGTTAGTAAGAGTTCTTACCCTGGGGGTTCATGAACGTATATTTTTTTAAAACATTTTTGATATTTCCATATAGTTAGTTTCCTTTTTAATTATATGTACTTTATTTTATTCATTTAAAACAGTATTTTGAGAAGAGGTTTTTAACCTGGGGGGGCAATGAACTTATTGTTTAAAAATATTTTGATAACTATATTTCAATACAATTGACTTCCTTTTTAAATTACATATATTTTATTTTATGTATTTAAAAAAAACATTATTCTGGGAAGAGGAATGTCCCATACCTACTGTTTATGAGGTCAGTCAAAGGAAAATCTAAGGACTTGAAATTCAAGACAAGGCCCCTAGTCTCAGTCCAGATGGTTAGAAAAAAATGAGAAGTCCCTTCCCCTTAGGACATAAGTTTCATACTCCCAACACTTTCTCTTCAAGTATCCTAAGAAGAATCCTGGGTAGTAGATGCAGTTGCTGGGACTTTCATATTTCTTGTCCATGGTTTATAAGCTAAAGTGTCCTGTCAAAGTGCCAGAAGTTGGCTATATCTAGGGTAATTCCTATGAGTCACATACTCATTAACAGAAATGCTCAGGCAGGGGAAGGGACAAGCTGGGATGGGTGATCCTCAGGTGGAGAGTGACTCTAGATGTTTGACCATATGGGAAATTGATATTAGAGCTAAAACAGAGTTAAAGCTGTCCCCTCTTTCCCGACCCAGAGTCAAGGGGGTTAGGAATGGCCAGGGCCTGATACCAAATCAGCCCCACCACGGCAGGAATAGCAGGGTACTATTGGTTAATGATAAGGGGGCATAGGGTCTGTACCCTAATATGCTAATGAGATGACCCTAAGATAGTTGGGAAGGATACCCATAATGTAGGGGCTGGACCGTTAGGATCATATGAAAAGGTACCCCCAAGTAGGTTGGCCAAAGGTCAGACAAAAGGTCATTGGGCTTTACCAAACTACCAAAGAGGTTCATGCCTCACACACACAAAAAATGCTTGAATCCCACTAGACGATCTTTGGAAAAATGAGAATATCCCGTTACTATGAGGTGGCATCAGAGTAAAACTTTAGTAAGAAAATTCCGAGCTAAGCCAACACAGACACAGATTTTGTATTACAATCTATATGCCTGGCACTTAGAGGGATTTCTAGCTGGAAAGGAATGTGGAGATCATTTCGTTCAGCTTCCTCATTTTACAGCTGAAGAACAGGAGGACCAAAAAGCTGAATGACCCATCCAAATGAACACACGTAGGAAGTAGAGGGTTGGAAGTCAGACCAACCCAGTTTTTCTGACTCTGGATCCAAGCTCTTAAACTGGCCAGAGTTGAGGGAATGCTGAAAAGAGGGATCCTAGGTAGAGCTCTTGTCTAGACATAAAAATGCTATTCACAACTCATTGAAGTCCAGGACTGTTTCTTACAGTGCTTCGTAGGAAGTAGGTAGTGAGTAAATGTTTGTTGAACTGAATGCTTAATACCAAAAAAAAAAAAAAAGAAAATGTTCTTTAGCTATCAAATAAAATTCTCTTTACACACATCAGTCTTATTAGACATAAAGTCATAGGATCATGGAACCATATAAACAGACAATACCTAATTTTAAAATGGAAGAATTGGAAAATGCTGAATAGTGACTTTTTTTTTAATAGAATGCCCAAGAGAGGAAGTGGACTGACCTGGATCTCTTTGGGACCACAGTTCACATGATCCATTTGAATGATAATTTCCTTTGTTTTGTTTGTCTGGGAGATTTACTGCTAAGCTTATATGGTGTCATAGAGGTTAACATTTACTAAGTCAGTTTTATGCCCAGTTTCCTTGGTGATTTTTCTCTTACTAGTGAGGAGACTCTCAGAATTAAATTTTAATGTGGAACGATTTGCCCCATCAAGTTTTACAGAAAACAGCAGGGCCATTTGGTAAACAGATGTGAAATTGGACCAAACTGAGAAGACAAGGTCAATAATCTTGCTTAGTTTTGTTTGTTTTTTGTCTGTTGTTTAGATTGTGAGTAGAAACTACACAGGTCTGATGTCCATGAGCAGGTGACTATCATAATCCAGTAAAGTTAGTCTGACTCATTTAGTGACACATGATATTACTAAATGTGGATAGTAACCATCTAATAGAAGTTACTAACATCTGTTATTTTGAAACCATCAAATCAAGTCTTTTTAGACATGACAAGAGGAAGGGGAGGGGAAAACTGGGTAGATTGGGAGGTTGCTCTAAAGCCCTACTAAATATCCTTAGATGCATAATCCAGAGAGACGTAAGCGTTGTCCATCAAGTCCATCATGGGCAAGGTGAACCAGGAGTTAATAGCCTGACAAACGTGCTTCCCTGAGGTGTTGGAAGCCAAGCATGGAAGATGCTAAGGTCTGGAATCACATATGGCTTAAGGGCAAGGCAGTCTTGTCATTCTCTTCATTAAGCAGTAAAAATCTGACATAGATATCCAGCCAGCAAAGGAAAAATAAAACAAAACCAATCATGGAACTGGTTATACATAGGAAATGTTTCCTTCACATACCACCTCCTGCCTCCTCCCTGGCCTTATCCCCATACACATACACACACACACACACACACACACACACACACACACACACACACACACACACACACACCACACACCTTGCCCTTGATACTGTCTGAAAAGCCAACAGTTAGAGCCAATTGAAAGAGCAGTGGATTAGGACCCCAAAAGCCTAAATTCTGAAGGTCTTGGCTTAGTCACTTCTTAGCAGG